AATTTCCCTTGTGAAGTATTCTCCGAATTCGACTTGTAACTTTAATAAACCTTTCGAGACTCAATTCGACGGACTGATTGACTTGTAACTTCGATTTGGATTATTAAGACTCAGATTCTGGAACAATTGTGGAATCAGATATTGCCATTCACCTTGGTGACTTGCGAAAATTGTAGTAAAGAACGATACTTACGATTGGTTATTCGACCTGGTTAACCCATCACGTGGACATAAAGTTATCACCAACATCACTTGATCATCGTCCGCTTTTACTTCACCATCCTTATTGAGATATTCCTAATAGCATCACCTGTAGTTGCTTCACCCTATTATCACCCTATTAATATTAAAGCCTTCATTCCATAGTGCCATATTGTCCTAATAGACCTCTGATAATTATAAAAGACTCCCTTCACTTCTCAAGTTGTCTTTATCTCCCCGTACATTGTTGGGGTTAAATTGACCTTTTATCCATATAATTCTATTAAGCTCTTCCATCAACAGTTACAGTAGCAATATTTCGACGACAACCATGAAAACTCGTTGAATTCATATTTATAATTCTTTAAACTTTATCATAGATCTCTTGGTATCCACTCGACAAATTCCACAATTTTTATTCGAATTCTGAAGATCGCATTTACAATTCCTCAACAAAATTCAATGAACTTCTTTCTTATTTGAAGTTTAGAAATTGCATTTACAATTCCTCAACAAGATTCAATGAACTTCTTTCTTATTTGAAGTTTAGAAATTGCATTTAAACTTTGATCATTTATTAATTGTTGAAAAAGTATTTAAGGCTCTTTTTTCCTCTTCTCATTTCAAAAAATTCTTCTATTTAAAAAACTGTTAATATTTATCTATTAAACTGAATTATTACACTTAAATTATCAATAATGTCTTCAGTAATTTTCGACAAGAACTCATCGTTTAAAAGTCTAGGGAAATATAAAAGAGAATTATATCTAGGGGAAAAAGATTTAATCCGTATCGACCTGCTATGTTTCGTGGTGAAAAATGGCTTCAGATTAAATTAAAAGATACATTTTCATTTCTTTGTAATGAAAAATACGAAGATTTGATTCAAAAACACATTTGGACATTATGTAAATCAGGTAATACAATGTATATAAAGGGTGATGGTAAATATTTTCATAGGCATATTTATCCAAATTGGGAAAGAGATATCGATCACTTTGATGGAAATGGTTTAAATAATACTTTGTGTAATTTAAGACCTGTAAGTCATAAAGAAAATTTGAAAAATCGTAGGATCAAACATTTCAAAATAGGGTGGATTGTTTTTTATTATGATCGAGAAGGCAATGAAATGGCTGAAGTATTTCAGTGTGATAAGCCTGATTTGAAAATATATGAAGAAGCTTTTGAATTTAAAAGACAAAAATATATCGAAGTTGGACAATATTACAGTTTTGGGGTATATTTCTTTAGAATAAGATCAAAATAAACCAGTGTGTATTGTCACTTGCGCTAGTGGTTCTTATATATTTTTAAATGCAGTATTTAAATTTAATAATTTTGTTATTTACCACATTTTATTATCATATATTTTTACATATTTTATTATTACATATTTAATAGATTAAATATTCAAATAATAGATATTTATATACTTTTTAAAATATTCATTATTGTTATTACCTTTCGGTCAGTAAATGTCAAATAATCTGCATATCCTTATGAGTTGAAAATTTAATTGTATTATAAAGTATAGATGAATTCTGATATAGACCCTTTATATATACATCGATTATATTAGTTATAAACAAATATTAGACATAGACATTATTCTTAGTTATATGTTGTCTACGTTCATGAATCTCAATAAATGCTTTAAACTTGTGAAATAGGTTTTTAAGAATCAAAAATTCATAATATAACCATTTAGGCAGTCACCTGATGATCGTCATACATAAACAAAATTTTATTGGCCAAAGTTATCATTACATAGATCATATATTAACTAACCAATTAAATCGTGAAGAAAAAATCGTGTTCATACAACTTATAATTTTATTACTTTTATACAAAAAGTGGATCAAAAAAAAACACGTTTATAAAGCTTTAAGTAATTATTTGCTTGCTTCTACTACAATTCGTGAAGTTTATTATGTGTCTAATTTAACTAGAATGCTAACTTTCAGTTTTTAGATGGTTTCCAAGTTAGCTGTTGCATTCTGGCATTTAAGACTTCCTTACAAGCTAAAGCTTCTTTGATCAAATTTTGTCTAAGTTTTCTATACTTATTATAAAAATTATTGTTTTCAATATTTTGCTCAACAATGGATATTAATGTTTCAAAAGTTTTTTTATCTAACGCTAACTTAGCCTTTCGCATTTCAATAGTATTGTGAGCAGGAATATGGTCAACACACACACCCACAACCAAGAAGAAAGTGACAGTTGTTCACTGGTTGAAATTGGGAAGATCACAGATAATGACACTTAGTAGAGAGGTGAGGTGGATAATGACTTGACACAGGTTTAAGGCATCTACTAAGTCTCGTTAGGTAAGTACTTTGATGTAATTTTAAACAAATGATTAACTTGGATTTATTGGAGGACTTTTATTAACAATTTTATTGGATGTAGGATGATTGTATACATACTTTTATCTTGAACAAGAGAAATTTGACCTTTTATTTATAATAAATTTACATGGTAAGAAAAAGATCAAAATCGATTGCTTTTCCCATCTTTTTTTATTGAATCATCATTAAACTCACGTCATATAACCTTTTTTTATCTAATTTCAACCTCTTTTTCACAGCCATTCTCATTGAAACGTTTGACAAAATGGAAAGAAGGTAAAAAGAAGATAAGTTGAATGAAGACTTTTGCACCATCATTGTTCTTTACCCATCAATTTACTCATTCTCTCATTAACTCTTCTATCGATTCATGTACTTTCATCATTCACGGTCACACACCTTATATGACAAAGTAATATTATCTTGACAGCTGTCATACCGAATTAGATAAGTGTTTTTTGCTTCAATAGGATTGTTGATGGAGCTTTGCTTTCATACAATCAATGTTTAAATGCTTCATTATAGAGGACTTGGCCTGAGCAGGTTTCTTGCATATGATTGTTATAGTAGAATTTTGGGTCCTGAGGCACTGCAGTACAATGGCATTTGCATAATGATTTTGTATATCCAATATGCAGAATTCTACATAATTCTTAGATTCTTTGTATATGTAGTTTTGCCAATAATAGTATTAACCTGAATATGAGCACTAGACATATTTTCACCATATGTTCTAGATTCAGAAGTTAAATCACTTAAATCATATAGAATGTTGTTTCAAGAATTATTAGCTGAATAAATTTATAGTAGATTCTCTTTTCCAAAATAGATAAATGGATAATCATACTAACAAATTGTATTTGGAAATTGTGGAAAGAAATTAGAGTGGATTGAAGTGTAGATTTGTATCAAATGTTTACATATTAAATATAGACTGTTTATGAAAAAAAACAGAAACAAACCAAGTTACTAAGATCTATATGATAATTTTCTTAGGTTTTAATATTTTTTTCTAGGCCTTTTTTCTATATATTTCTAAAATTAACCTACTATAATAGGAACTTCTGGTTATTACTATACCTTTGCCAAGTGTTATCATATCAGAGACTAATTGATTTGTTATAATATAATTTAGATGATTGAGATGAGGTTTGTTATAGCTATACTTATAGTTGTATTTAAGAACTCTCTAGTAGGATTCAATAATCATTGTAGTTTTTGCTATAGATATAGCTTTAGAGTAAGATGATCAGATAAAAAGTTTTTAATTTTTTCTATTATACTAATTTATCTACAGATAGGCCTATAGATTAATAAGATTATTTCATTGACAGTATTAATAAACCTTTAAAATGCTTTAATAATATATTTCTTCAGAAGTAAGAAAAATGTTTACATTTATTAGAATTAGTAGATAAAGTATTGAATGCCATCTAATCATATTTTTAATATCTTTTATATTTTCTGTAGAGCATATTAAACTTTGCTTTCCTTCAGACAACCAGTTCAAGTCAATAAAGGAAAATTGTTTACTTGCCTCCTTTGCTTTTTAAATGGAGTAATATGAAGTTTTAGGTTTTTTTCTTTCATTTTTTGATCAATAGTATGCTCAACATGTTAGAGATATAATGAATATTAATTTGTTGTGACCAGACATCCTTCACTGCTATGATTTGTCCTATATCTTTGTCAAAAAAAATAAAAAAGGATAAGATGCCTTCTTTTTAATAAGTCTAAAGAATTCTACAAGAATGTGAATTCAACTATTAATCTTATTTATAGAATCTTATAAAAATTCTTCAAGTGCAGTAAATGTATCAAGATACAAATAGGCAAGTGGCATTCTGAACCCTCTACAATTAACAATTAAGGCAAATAGTTTAAATTTTCTTTGTTTGTTTTAAACATAGAATCAAGAGTAAATTCATTAATATTTTTTTAAAAATTTTGTTTATAAATAGTGTAATAAATCCAAGTGCTCTAACAAAATTATTTTCTATATAGAAGATTAATTTATAACCTTCATTGATTAATTCTTGATGTTGTAAGTATTCTTTAGTTGAAATAACTTAATTTATTATATTTGACATATATTGCTTAACAGAAAGTTTAAGTTTTAATAATATATTTGTTGATAATTATGAACTGTAGGGTCTATAAGCTTTTTATTAGAAAGCTTTTTATAAAATTCTATTATATGAAGGCTGTAGTTTAAATTTAATTTTGTAACGGGATCAGAATATTAAGGCCGATTTTATTACAACTTAAAAGGGAGCCTGCCGTTTATAAGCAAAAGGGAAA